CATCCCCAGGCCTTTCCGTCGGCGCCTTCAGCCTCTGCTCTCAGAGTTGACATGGATGGAGCAGCTCCTGCTGGGCCGTCACCAGGGGCGTGCACACCTGGGAACCGCACTGGGCACCCCTTGGCCCCCATCGCGCCTCGGGGGTTCCCGTCGCGCAGAGCCTGTTGGTCGAGAGCTCAGAGAACCCGGGGAGAGGCAGGTCCAGGAGGTCAGCAGTACGCGGCAGCCCGCGGTGGCCCTCGCCTGGGCCTGGGGCCGTCTGCGAGGGGCTACAGGGGCTCGATCCCCAGTCTTGGGGAACACAGGTGTGAGGGCAGCGAGCAGAGGGGCAGCCAGCATTGCTGTCTTTGCAGGGCTGCCCTCGCGTCTTCCAGCCCCGAGCACCCAGGGCAGGTGGATTCTGGGCAAATGGCCTTTGTGATTCCTTCAGGTGGCCTCCTCGGCCGTGGCCAGACGATGCCACGTCGTCCGTGGATGGCCCTCCTCTAGGTTTCCAGGGCGATGAGGGCTGTCCCTGCGCCATGGGCCTTTCTTCTCCCTTCCACCCTGGGCCAGTGGGAAATTCAGGGGGGGGCTTTTCCTACAGGAGGGAGGAGCCGGGCGCAGACCCCGGAAAACAGGCTGCGGGCACAGTCCGTCCTGGGGCTGCCAGTGCCCCCGCCGTGTCATGATGCCTGGTATTGGAGGCTGTATATTTTTTTGTGAGCCAGTGCCGGGGCCCATATTTCTGGAGGATGACCACCGTCCTCCTCTCAGCCAGAGTGCTGCCGCGGGCTCCTGACAGCTGGGGCTTTGCCCTTCTCAGCAAGTGGACCTGCCGCAGGCGTCCATGAATTGCATCCCAGTTGACCATCAGCGCCCTCCCGTCTGCCGCCCTGCTCTGCAGGGGTCCCCTGGCGCCCCTTGCCCAGTGCACAGCGGGTCCCAGGCGAGGGTCTGACGGGGGCTGTGCGGATGCTGGCCGCTTTGTCTCCCACCATCTCTGCGCCCAGCCTGGAAGGCTGAGGGTCCCCGACTCAGCTTGTGGGTGGGGGTGGAGCAGTCAGGACAAAAGCCTGGTTGTGCCCTTGGAGAAAAGCAAACCTGGGTTTCCCTGAGGCTGGAGCCGCCAGAGCCCGCCAGTCTCACTGCCATAAAGGGAACTTTGTGTGTGGCTCCTGGCGGGAGGAGGCAGCAGACAGCCGGGCCTGGCAGCCAGGCTCTCTGGGAAGGGCGTGGCCGCCTGCAGCCACCACACGGTGTCACGACAACTCTGGTGACCCCTGACTTCGAGCCGATCCCAGGCCAGGTGGTCACAGTCACGGTCACGTTTGGGACAAGTCTGCACACCCGGCTGTGGGGCCGTGGGGCTGAATCCAGACCAGCCGGATTTTCTTGAAAGACCGAGTTCGGTTGGGGAGGCAGAGGGGGGTACCCATGGGTGGGTCTGGGCTGGGTGGGCAGCCCCATCTGGAAGCCCCACTGTTGCTGGTGCTGCCATCTGTGTGGGGGGCTTGTGTGGCCGTGTCTGCAGCAGGCCCTGGGCTGGGAGCTGGGCTCCCTGGGACCTGCGTGTGGGAACTGAGGGACGCTGTGGACATGGAGTTCTCCACCAGGGGCTGGGCGTCCAGAAAGGCCGCGGTCTGTGTGTAATCTGGCCTTGAACTGTTGCCCCCCACTTCTGACCGTGTTGTGGGGAGGGGAGGGGCTGGCGCTGGTTGAGGTCTGGTGGCATTTAGGGCCTGGTTTTGCCAGAATGAGGGGCGTGGAGGGCAGGCTTGTGGGGAAGGGGCTGTAGCAGGCGGGGGACGCCGGCCCTGCGTGTGCGGGCCGCGCTTTCTCGGCGCCGTGGAGCGGACCGAGCCGCACGTTCATCCACAGCGCTCAGTGAGCACGAGCTGTGTGCAGGACAGCTCCCGGCCTGAGACACAGCACCTGCCCTCTCGCAGCAGGCGTGCTCGCGGGAACCGGTCTGCCTTTCCGCCTCCTTCTTCTCCCCTCCCCCCTCCCCCTCCCCCCTTCCTCCTTCTCCTTTTCTTCCTTCCTTTCTCATCCATATATTATACTTTTTTTTTTGCTTTTTAGGATTTATTTTGTTTACTTGAAAGGCAGAGTTACAGAGAGAGAGGGAGAGCTTCCATCCGCTGGTTCACTGCCCAAATGGCCACACTAGCCAAGGACGGATGGAGCAGGCTGAAGCCAGGAGCCAGAGGTTCCACCCAGGTCTCCCGCATGGGCGGCAGGAGCCCAAGCACAGGGCTGCTTCTGCTGCTTTCCCAGGAGCAGGGAGCTGGGTTGGAAATGGGGCAGTGGGACTAGAACTGGCATTCATGGGATGCCGGCATCGCATGTGGTAGCTTAACGGAGCCCCATGGGGACAGGTCCTAGGCAGGTGACCCAGTGACCATCTTTGTCAGGTGCCTGGAGACACACAGAGCATGCCGTGGGGCAGGAGAGCTGGCGGCTGAAGTAGAGTGGCTGAGGGGCTTAGCAGCATGCCTGATGGAGGTGAGGGGATAGCCCTCTGGCACCCAGGCCTCCATGTACAGCACCAGGAGGGGCTTGGGAAGTGCAAAGACCCTGCGGTAGGAAATTGACACACTCAGGAGCACAGCTGGATCCAGGGGCTGAAACCCTGGCATCGGCAATTATGTGTGTGTGTGTGTGTGTGTGTCTCCCCTCCTTTCTCCGACAGTCACTTAAGCACTCAGGACTGGTTCTGACGGACCCTGCATGTGGTCCCAGGAGCATGGGAGGCTCCCCCAGAGCCCACCCTGAATGCGAGGGAGAGGGGGTCGCCAAGTCAGCGTGCATGTGTGTCACAGGAACCAGCAGCCAGTATCCCCACCCCCTCCCCAAACAGCCGGTCAGGGACGCCGTATGTGCTGGGCATGGGGTGGGCAGTGAGGCTGGCGGGTGGAACCAGGTCATACAGGGCTTTTACGTGGGATGGTTTGGCCACTGTCCAGGTAGGTGCACAGTAGGCACTGGGCACCATTGCCAGGCTACCCACGTGTCGCATGGTGGCCTGCGGCGAGGGTGTAAGCCAGGCATCCAGTGCACCTTGCAGAGGCCGGGCCGCCTCCTGCAGCCGGCTCGCGCTCGCAGGGCTCTCTCCCTTGGGGCCGCCTGGGCACGTTTGGGTGGCGGAGCCCAGCCTATCATTAGCACACCCGCGTCGGCCCTGAGGGCGGCCGCCTTCACTTCCCCGTCTCAGCGGCCGGCAGCGTCTGCGGCGGAGGAGCAGGCCTTGTTTCTAAAAGCAGCAGTCGCCTGTGGAGGCCACCCTTGCTCTTGTGTGGCTTCCTGGGCTGGCACGGAGGTCGAGGGCACACGTGGCTTTTCAGCAGCAGAGAGCATGCCCGTTCCCGCCACCCAGAGGGACCTCCGGATCCGGTGTCCTCTGTCCCCAGAGATGGGGCAGGTCTCAGCGCCCTGGGTCCTGTGGGGTTCGTGAGGTCCCCTGGGTCCCACCGCATCCAGCACCTTTATTCTGCCTGTCCCCAGGAGCATGGCCAGGCGGGCTGCTGCTGGCACTGGGGGTGCAGGGAAACACATTTTGGGGGGCTGAATTTGCTCTTCCTGCCTTTGGTTGGCTGGCCCTGGTGCTCACGGGAAGACGTGTTGGGCCCAGGGTCACCGCCAGGGCGGATCGGGTGGTTTCTCTGAGCCTCAGTCTCCCCCTGCCATGAGCCACTCAGACTTGACCTTGTGTGAGGTGTCGGAGCCGGCGGGAGCGTCCACAGAAAAGTCGGCGTGGTGTCTGAGCCACCCCGCTGACCAGTGGCCAAAGGCCTGACCCGGTCGGGCGTGAAGATGGTAGGCGTTCTCCCTGGTGGCCGAGTGGGCCGGGTGTGGGGCTGGGGTGTGCACAAGCCCTGCTGCTGCCGCCCTGTCCCCTTTCCTGTTTTTTTTTTTTTTTTTTTTTAATGTTAAAGATTTATTTATTTGAAAGGCAGCATTCTTGGGGGGGTTGGGAGGGAGGAGATAGATCTTCTGTCCACTGGTTCACTCCTCAAATGGGCACAACTGTTGGGGCTGGGCCAGGCCGAAGCCAGGAGCCTAGAACTCTATCCCAGTCTCCCATGTGAGTGGCAGGGGCTCAGGCACTTGGGCCATCTTCCATTGCTTTCCCAGGTGCGTCAGCAGTGAGCTGTATCGGAAGAGGAGCAGCCGGGACTCGAACCAACACTTATCTGGGATGCTGGCATCACCTACTGGCCTCTGCCTTGTCCACTTTCCAGAAGGAGCCCCTGGGCGAACTGGGCCTGCCTCGGGCCGTGGAAGCCCAGCTGCCCCTCGGGGCTTTCCTGTGCTGCGGTCTGGTTGGCCTTGCTGGGTGGTTGTGCAGGCTTGACTGGCTCCGAGACCAACACGGAACCGCCCGGGTGTGCTGTGCTGCTCACTGTCGGGGAAGCAGCTGGGCTCCCTGGGGTCCCTCGGCCGTCCTTCCCTTTGCAGTCAATCCTCCAGGTCGGGGGCCGGTAGCCTCCTGGGTCCTAAGACCCCAGCCTCCTCCTACCACGAGGGCTGCCCTTGGGGGCAAGTGCCTGAGGCTGGGCACCGTGGATTCCTGGGGAGTGGTGAGCACGCCTCTGTTTCTGGGGAGGGGGTAGCACGCCCGAGGCTGTGGGGTGGTCCCTCGAGGCAGCGACCTCGAGGGTGGCCACTCAGGACGGCCCCCCTGGGGTAGGAGGAAACTACTTTTGTCTCGCCTGAGTTGCTTTCCATTTTAGGGCAGCGTGTTTGAGACTGCAGGGAACTGGTGGGTGTAGGAGCACATGAGTATAATGTATGCATAAGACTTTTGGGAGCTACAGCTTCACAATTGATTGCTATGTGGCTGCAAAACCACAAAAGGACAATAAAGTCTGCAGCAGATGAAGCTGGGGGTTGTGACGGGAGCGTGGTGGTGCCGGGGATCCGGGGAAGTGTGTGCAGGGGGCGGGGTGGGTGAGGGGACTGCACCTTACCAGGCAGGGCAGGTGGAGGGGAACAGGGGGCTGGCAGAGGCCGGGCCGACAGCAGGAGCCCAGCGCCTCTCTGTGCCCTGAGTGTAGCTTGTCGTCCTTGTCCTGGTGTGTGAGGGCGCAGGGACTGAGCCTGGCCAGATGACCCCTCGGAGGCGTGTAGGGGAGAGGCTGAGCAGCCATTTCTCCACCACTTCCTAAGGTCCCGCCCAGAGGTTGGCCAACTTGCAGGGCCAGAGGGTCAACATTTAGGCTTTGCGAGCACAACGCGGCCACCACGGCTGCGCGACTCTGCTGTCAGAGAGGCTATGGAGACATGAGCCTGTGTGCCAATAAAACTTTATTTACAAAACCAGGCTGTGGGCCAGATTTCACCCATGGTCTAGACCAAGAGGATGGGACCCCATGGGGCTCAGAACCTGCGAGCCCCTGATCTGCACTTTGTGGGGGTGTGGTCTGGGTGTGGTGTGGACCCCACAGGGCGCGTGTGTTTCTAGCCAGAGCAGGTGCGTGATCAGCTGCTTCCACAGCAGGTTCGGAGCTCTTGGCTCTGCTGCGCACTTGGGGGGCCCTCCCTTAGAGCCAGGACCACGTGGCTGTGATGGGGGCTTCGGTACCAGAGCTGAGGGAGGAGGCAGGGCCCTACTCATCCCAGGACCTGGAAGCAGCAGAGCTGAGATCCGGAGGCCTCCACACTGACGTCCCTCGGGCTGCTGTGAAAAGCTGGGCTTTGGGAAAAACTCCGCTTCTCTTCCAAACTGGGAACGGCTGCAGGTAGGCAGAGCCCGTGAGCTTCTGTCCTGCAGGACTTATCAGAGCTTTAAGGTGTCGTGGCCTCCCTGGGAGCAGTGCAGCACTGCCCCAGACGAAGACGTGGTTTTCAGGTGCTCACGAAACTGTGGAGCTGATCTCCTGAACCCTGTGTTGTATGAACAGGAGACTAAAGGCCCAGAGAGGCAGGGACTCGCCGCAGAGACACAGGGCTGAGGGCGGTGTTGGGGTGCACACCCGGCTCCTGCTTGCCTGCCTCCCTCCTGGCTGGGGAGGGGAGGTGCCCGCCTCCACCCTGACTTGTGATCCGGAGGCACAGGTGTTGGGGTTGAGACGGTGTTTGTGGCCATGTTGGGAGGGTTTTGTCCCAGGGTGCCCTGCGTCTTCCGTCGGAAGCTTGCTCTCTCTGGGAGGCTGTCAGCCGGCCCTGCCCACCTCATGGGCTGGATCACTGTTGGTGCCAGGGCCTGGCCAAGGCGGCGTTGCTGGCTGAACCCCATGGGGGCTAATAGCACCCTCTGCCCCCTGCTGCAACCATCAACTCTGTCTTGGACGTTGTCAAATGCCCCCTGGGGGAGGTACCCACCACCCTTCCTCCGTCGAGGTGGGCACCGTGTTTGCCAGCACTTGCTGGGTTCCGACAGACAAGCAGGAACATGCAGGGGACGGAGACAGAACGGGGCTGTGGGACTTCACTTGTGCACCAGGACCCAGCCCCCCAGTGAAGGCCCATGGGAGGGGGCACAGACAGAGGGAGAGGGAGGCAGAGGCCCTATGGGGGAGGCTGCTGTGTGTGCTACAGTCTGGGGACCTTGTACCGAGGGCAGTGAGGTGGGGGTGGGGAGAGTCTGGGAGGTCGTGTGGGGTGGGGGAGTACAGGAGAGAGGACGGGGGCAGGCAGGGGTCCTCCCTGACAGCCAAGCTGAAGTCACCTGCAGGGGCCTGGAACCCTCGGGCTGTAGCCTCGTGGGCTCGGCAGGTGGGACCTCCGTCAGACAGGGAGGAGGTGGGCTTGAACATTCTGGGGGTAGTGCGAACTGATTCTCAAACAATGAGTCTCTTTTCTGGGCCCGATTCCTGGAGCCCCGGGGAGGATGCTGCCGTGGGTGATGGGACAGGCGGCTCAGACGGGCTCGGAAGCCAGGGCCGCACACCGACAAGAGAAGCCTGGCGTATGGGGGCGGTGGGGAGCTGCTGCCGCCGTCACAGAGACGCAGATAACTTTTCTCACCCGAGTGCTTGGACCGCAGTGGCTTCCATAATTGCTGGGCGTCCGAGTCAGGGCAGGGGGCAAACGTCGGGGGTCTGTTTCTAAGTGGGACGTGGACTCCTGGACAAGGAAGGAGCTGCACCGTCGCGGGGAGTTCGTTGTTTCAAGGTGGCGGGGAGCTGGAGGAGGGCCCTTGCATGCACGGTGTGACAGCCCAGAGCCTCGGTTAGAGCGAGGGAGAAGAGAAAGCCTTGTGTCGTCAAGCCTGTGTCACTCATCTCGCAAATTCACACGCGATCTCAGGAAGGGCTTGTCCACCCAGGACTGTTTGGATATCTGTGACATTCTTCACGGCCGTGCAAAATGATCAGCTGAAGAGATTAGCCTGCTGTGGGTTTATTGAATGTTGAGTCCCACCTGCAGGAGCCTTGGCAGGGGCTTATCGGCCTGGACGTTCCCCACCCCTTAGGAAGCCGCGGCAGGCCTCTGGGCCTGAGCTGGTCTCCCGTGTGGACGGCAGGGACAACCACTGAAGCCCTCACCTGCTGCCTCCCAGGGTGCACGTTAGTGGAAGCTGGAGTCGGGAGCCGATCTGGGAGCTGACTCCAGGCGCTGATGTGGGGGGTGGGCGTCTCAGGAGGTGACTTAACTGCCAGGCCAGACCCGCCCAGCATCTGAACCACCTTGAAGGTGCAGATCAGAAACATTGGGTGCATTGACACCGTAGGGCCACTGTCACCACCATCCACCTCCAGGATGCATTTCATCTGAAAACTGAAACCGGGTCCCCGTTAAACCGCAAGTCCCCAGTCCCTCCCCCAGACCAGGGCAGCCGCCTTCGACTTTCTGTCTCCGAGTGTGGCTGCCCTGGTGACTTCGCATGAGTGGACTGCTCAGTCTTTGTCCTTTGTGGCTGGTTTGTTTCCCTTCGCCCCAGGGTCCTCTGTGCCGCGCGTGTGTCAGAGTTTCCTTCCTTTCTGAGGCTGACTGTTACCCCATGGCGTGACCGGCACACTGTGCGTCTGTGCCACTTTATCCTGTGGCTCTTGTTAACACGCGTGTGCAGATCTGGCCCTGGAAGCTTGCAGAATTGCTGGCTCAGGTGGTCCTTGTGTTTGAGTTTTCTGAGATCCATCCTGGTTTCCACAGTACCTGCACCCCTTTGCAGGCCCCGGCCACCACCACTGCCCAAGGCTGCCAGTCTCTCCACATCCTCACCCACTCTTGTCATCGGCCTTCTTGTTTGTTTGTTTGTTTTTTCCAACATAGACCTTTTACTAAAGGATAACACACCCAGAATAGTTCCATACCTTCCTGGCTGCCTTGCCAGTGTGTTTACATCTCTGGGGACACCATTAATGTATTAAAATGGGCTTGTCGGGACAAGCATTTAGTGTGGTGGGTAGCATACCACTCGGGACACCTGTATCCCATACTGGAGTTCCAGTCCTGGCTCCACGCCCGATCCCAGCCCTGCTAGTGCACACCCTGGGAGGCAGCAGGTGAGGGCTCAAGTAGTTGGGTTCCTACCACCCTACCACCCATGTGGGAGACCTGGATGGACTTCCTGGCTCCTGGCTTCAGGCTGGTCCAGCTCTGGCATGGCGGGCATTTATGGTGAGAACCAATGGATGGGAGCTGTCTCTCTGCCTTTTCAAAGATATTTTTAATCAGTGAGTTTGCTCCTCCCTTCCTCCCCTGCTCTGCTGGCTGCACGTGGAAGCCCCCAGGCTCCGGCAGGTTCCACCTCACGTCTTTCATTGCAGGCTTGTGTTTGCACTCGTCCACCTGGTTGACCTTCCATCAGGGGTGATAATTTCGTTTGGAGAAATGGAAGCAATGCCCTTTTACAGATACCCTCTGCACAGCCGTGCCTCTATTTTTTGGGAGCTCAGCCCGGCTCTCCGACTCGGGTGGCAGGAACCTAACAATGTTTGCCATCACCGCTGCCTCCCAGGGCACATAGCAGTGGGAAGCTGGAATTGGCTGCACAGCCAGGCCTGGAACCCAGGCGCTCTGATACTGGGTGCAGCCACCCCAACCAGCGACTTGGGCCAGAGGCCTGCCCCTGGTGCTTCTGCCCTTGTGGGCTCAAGCCCAGGAGTAGATCCTACCAGGGGCTAGTGGCTGGGATGCTCGTTCCTCCCTTTGCCCAGCAGGAGGCGCTATCTCTGTAGCCACTGTAGAAAGCTGGTGAGTGCCAAGTGGTGTCTCCTGGTCACTTTAATTTCGTTTTCCTCTGTCTACCTGGGAGGTGGACCTCCTCTTCCTCTAAGGTGATTGGCTGGCTGCGTTTCCCTTCTCCAAGCTGTCTGCTCAGAGCCCCTGGCTGTCTTGACTCTCCTGCAGTAACAGAACCCAAAGCAAACGTGACGAAGTGTTGACAGGCGTCCGTTTTAAGGGCAGACGATATGCAAATCATTTGTACATTTCAGTTACACATTTTCAAGAAGAAATTTCCGTGGGAGTTTTGGTCTGGGTGGGCCGGGGTCAGGGTGGGGGACCTGTCCGGAGGATGTGCTGTAGCCTTGGCGGTGACCGTGGCTGGAGAGGCAGAGTGGGCTCCGGGTTGCCAGACGTGGGGAGTTGACATTTGGTGCTAGTGAGGGAAGCTAAGAGGAGGAATCCAGGGAGATGGGGGCGAGGACGGAGACTGAGAAGGGTGCGGTCGGGCTGGGGTTACAGTTAGGAGAATCAAGTTTGATGGACGTGCTGATTGGGAGCAAGGTGCTCCCTGGGGGTGCAGAGGCGGGTGGAGGCGGGGCCCTTGGAGCAGGTGTGTGGGGCAGGCAGAGGATGCAGTGGGAACGCCAGTTCTTCAGGTCCAGGACGTGGTCAGTGTTTTCAGACGCGGTTGACGGGAAGCGAGCCTGCTTTTCTGGGCCTGTTCAATACATCGATCAAGAGGTGCTGACCTTGAGCGAGCCGTTGGCCTGACACAGGCCAGACCTGAAGTGGCCTGGCTGCTGTGCTTCTGCAGTCTGGAGGTGACAGACACCTCAGGGAGTGTAGGTGGGGGCAGGAGAGGCCTCGGGGGTGTGGAGCTGTCTTGGCGCCCGGGCTGGTGCTGGGCTTGGTTGCAGCTGTGACCCGCAGCAAGCGTGCGCTGAGCCGCTGCCCTCGGGGCTCTGTTAGTACCGCAGCCCCTGGGTGTCCACAGGAGAAAATGCCAGAAACACAGACTGCACCTTCCCGGTGGGAACCTCTGCCTGCCCCATCCTGTGTGTGCTCCCAGCGCAGCCCTGCGGGACTAGGGGAGACGTGAGTCATTTCCTGGACAGCAACCTGTCCTGGCTTCTTAGCCATCTGGGGCTTGGCCTTGGAGACATTGATCGGCTTTCTCACATCCCCCTCTGTTTCCTGCCAGTGCAGTCTCCCTGTCAGCTCGTGGGCACCGTGCTGCCCGAGAAGACCGGGTCCCCTGACTCTGGTGAAAGGAAAGAGGTTGGCAGAGAGGCCCAGGGGGCCATGGGCCAAGTGAGCGGCGTGGCTCCAGCTCGGCCAGGCTGCTGTTCCTCCCAGCATGGCCCCTGGAGAACAGCTCCAGGGATGGGTGGCCTTGGCCCTTGGGTTCCTTAATGAGCTGACAGGGTGTGGCCGAGAGTTTGAGCCACATTTTTTTTGTTGTTGTTAAGATTTGATTTGTTTATTTGAAAGGCAGAGTTAGAGAGAGAGAAAGAGAGATCTTCAATCCGCTGGTTCACTCCCCAGATGGTCTCACTGGCCGGAGGCTGGGCCAGGCCTAAGCCAGGAGCCAGGAGCTTCATCCAGGTCTCCCACATGGGTGGCAGGG